CTCCTGGCAGCAGTGCACTCGGGGCAGCGTCCTAAGGGGCTTTCCCTGCTGGCCTTAGGCAGGTTTCCCTGTGGGTGTGCGTTACCGGAGGCCTCATGGTGACGCTGGTACCTGAGAGGCAAATGCTGGAGCCGCTCTGGTAACCCCCCCGGAGCCTGTCCCTTTTTGGTAACTATTGCTTGCACAGGCCAGCTATGTGTATCTTTGAAATGTATTGAGAGTTGTTCATAAAAGCTTAACAAGAGAATTGTGCTTTAGTGACTGTAAACAAAAAGCTTCTGTTAATATGTCTTTGTAGTCTCTGATAACCCATTTAGTTCACAGACTTTTCTAAGTCTTTCTTAAATTCACCAACAATAGGTTTTTATTTTCTGCAGCTATTGATTTCAGTTTTTCCAGGCATGACTTGTCTTCCTACTGCATTCTGGATCAGCAAAGTGCAGAATTAATTACTGCTGAATCATAACAGAGTCTTATACAAAAGAATGCGAGTTACTTGCATAAGAAGCCGCAACCCCAGTGATACAGATTCTGCTTCTATGTGCTAATGTAACCTTCCTAAGCAGTTGTTCTCAACATCCTGGTTTTGAGTTCTCTGGACTGTCATTTCATGACTTATGGAAGTCACTGGGTCTCATATTCTCTTTTTTTTGGACAATGTTAAATATGTCTGCTTAAGATACAACTCTTGTTTTATGATGTTAATATATATTGAGTGTAGTGATATGATAAATCTAAAATAAATGTTTCCATATGCAGAATGGAGACTGATTGCAATCCTATGGAGTTACCCAATAATGCGGGGTTTGAAGAGGATTCTGATTATAGAGACTTTGAAGGAACAGATGTGAAAGATATGAGACTAGAAGCTGAAGCTGTTGTGAATGATGTTCTGTTCGCTGTCAGCAACATGTTTGTCTCAAAAACCCTTCCCTGTGCAGAGGATGTGGCATATATCAATGTGGAAACCAGGGAAAGGAACAGATACTGCCTGGAGCTCACCGAAGCAGGACTCAGGGTAAACTGATTTGTTTATAATTTCTTAATCCTCTTTGTTTTGAACAATGATCGTGTTCAAAAGGTGCGTAGAAAAATACTTCAGTGACACCAAAACAGCATACATACTCCTCTTGTACTTTTATGAAAGCCTGTTCTACGCGTTTTCTCCTAGAAAGTGGAACTTTAACTAGTTACTTCCAACAAAGCAAGAAGGGAAGTTGATGAAAAACCAGGCATTTATTTGAGACACAAAATGATGAAGATTGAAGCAGCAATTTGTTATAATTTGTATGTCAGTCTTTGGGTTTCTCGGGTACCTGGATAAGTCAGTAATACAGCATGTACAGAACTCCTTTTTGCACCATTTGTATTTTTTGTGCAAACATGTAGATGTAAGACTTCTTTTCAAAGGTTGTAATGATAGATTGTACTAATATTCTGAGTTTTGGACAAAAGGTATTTGAAACCATTTAAATACTGTATTACCACTAAGCCCCATAGTAGAAGGCACAGATTGTGATTTAAATCCAGTATCTTTTGTTCTCAGATTATCGTACTACCCTGACTGGCAAAATTAAATGTTGTGATATCTGTTCCCCATTGCAAGGTGATCCTAACCACAGAAATTTAACCAGTGATTTCTTTGTTGCAGGTAGTAGCTTATGATTTTGATCAGACTGATGACAGATTGCAAACTCCATACCATGAAACTGTCTACTCCTTATTGGACTCTCTCAGCCCTGCATATCGAGAGGTGTTTGGAAATGCATTACTACAAAGACTAGAAGCTTTGAAGAAAGATAGTCAGTCATGATTTACCCAGAAGTGAGGAAGGTTTAATGCTAGAAGGAATTCTTAGTATGAGGCACTGACATCTTTCTTAAAAACATAATCACAAACATCTTAAGCTTCATTTCTTGCATTACTATCTAATTCATGCTAGTACTATATAACATTTTGCTACAGTGGATTTGTGTATATCACAATGCTATTAAAAGCCACTTTGATAAATTGCAAAATTAGTAAACATTTTGTTTTCTTTTTTGTTGTAGGTGAGCAAGTAAGTTGCTTCTTACAACATTCAAAAAATTTGGTCTCTTTTTGAAATGTTATTATCCAAAACTCTAAAAAAATATAGAGAGACTGAATGTTATATATACAAGTAGTAATTTTTTTTGGTGTGTGCTTACTGATCATTTTCATATCTGCTTTTCAAAATAGAAGCTAACTACTTGCTCTACCCAATTAATGAAGAATAATTGGGAAAACTACTGTTCTGCAAAGAACAGAATTTCAGCTTGATTTGCTATACATAAATCTGAAAATTCTCAGCTTTGGGAACAAGAGAGATGGTTCTTGAACAGTTGAGCGTTGCTTATATACTAACAGTATCTGAGTTAAAAGCAAGGCTCAGTATTATTTGATCTGTCCTTGTCTATGGCAACCAGCAAACTCAAAATAATAAATGAGATGTACTGCTAATATATGAATGTATTGTCTGAATCGCAAATGAGTAAAGCACAGAATTAGGGTGTAATGGGCTACATTTCTTAAAGATGATGTTATATATGCTATATATATATATATGTATGCTATATTGTAACTGTTTGGGAGGCTTGGAAGACATTTTAGCCTGTTTACTATTCTGAATGTGTGTTTACATGATGTACAGGATATACCCAAGAGTATTTTTGCTTCAGCCTTTACTTTCTATAATACAGTACTTTGGTACTCCTGTTTTTCACATTTAATCCCTCAATTGTACAGCGTCCTCTCCTAATGAATACTAAGTAAGCACTGTAATGTTCATTGCATTGCATTGGTTTGAAACCAAAGGCTGTATGAAATTTGCTAAGACTAATACAAACTGGAAGATATAACTTGTATTTTCTACGTAAAAACTGGTACGAATCTCTTTATAAATCTATTGTTCTGCTGTAACTTTTCCAGTATATACTGAATGGTAGACTTTTTAATACAGTTTGTTAGAAATACCAGTACTGTTGAACTAACATTCTGTGACGTTCATACTTTTTGTATTCTTGTATTATTCAGTATTTGTGCGTCTTTATTTAAATAATCCTGCCATTATTCTGCCATGCTTTTGTGACAAGTACATGCAGTAGCTTTTTTGGAGCCACACTTAGGGATACATCAGTTCTCATGAAGTCACAGATTCCAGTGACTTTAGTAGAGCTATATTGACTTCTACTTGCAAAGGATTAGTCATATTAATTGAAGCCTAGTAGAGCTTTTGTAATAGCTTTGGGGTAGAGATGTGCAACTATGACTGACAAGACAACTGTAGTTAGCGCTTCAGTTTTCCAGAGCTGAATTTTGTGTTTATTTTACTATCTTTTTAGGTTGAAACTTCTGATATTAATCCTCTGCCCTAGGGTATGCTTCCACGCTCTAAAAATTGTTCATAGGCTCTCTTTTGCACACAGGTCTGTGGCACGTGGTTAGTCCTCTGTGAGGAGAATGTACTTTACCATATTTATATTTGAATATTTTCCCTTGCAACTAATTTACTTGTTCAATTTCAATGACTAAAGCATTAAATAAATGCACCAGTGTGTTGTAGTTTTTTTGGGGGGGGGGCAGTTACTGGAAAGGGGGGAGTGAACAACCAAAGTCGTCGTGCCCATAAAAAAATCTTAAATATCAAATAGTTAACAAGTATTTTAAAACCTTTGGCTGCAAACTTGTATCTGCTGAAACTTTGTCGTGAAAAAACAAGGTAGGTGATTGTAAAGAGGGACTTGGAAAGGAAGTGTTAGAAATACAAGTGGAAAAATGCCAAAGTAAATGTTACATTGCTAAGATTTTTTTTTTCTTCTTAGACATCTTTAAAATGATTTTTCATTTTGCATGCTTATTATAAACCTAAGCAGGTGTTTTGTAGGTGTTACCAGAAGAAACTTCTGTTGTTTCTGATAACGTACTGCAGTGTTAACTCAAAAATGGGAGAGCTATGTCATTCCGCTGTGTCTGGGTTTACGAGTATGAAGAAAATGCCTTCCAGTCTCTACGCTTACATGGAAGGAGCTTCTCCGGGGCACTGACAACGGAGAATTTCAATAGGTCGCCTTAGACTGTCAGTTGTTTTCATTATCCAAACCCCTGAATGAGTGCTGCTTGGGCTAATGCAGCTGTTAATCTGTGAATTACCTAAAAAGCCTCAAAGCCTGCCTGCTACTTGAAAGGATGTCTAATGACCTACTTAAAGCTATTTTTGTCTCAGCAGTCCTACGTACATTTCGTCCCGTTCGGCGTCTAGAAGTCACGAATAAATTCCCTACTTTACCGACTGCCGCTATCCCTGTTTGTCCTAGGATAGATTGAATTAGGTCTAAAAAACGAGTATACGTACGCACCGAACGCCTGTTTACGCTGACGGTGCTCCCTGCCGGGCGAACGGCCCGACC